TTTATTTGCAATTAACTAAAGCGTTCCAATTCTTGAGGGCAAACTTGTTGCAACCGTCACGCATTCCTAACGAGGCAAATGCCACGCAGTGTTAATGTCAGTGGAGAATACAGCTTGCTTAACTGCCCTCAGATAGCGTAGCTGTAATTGTTATGCTTTCCTACACATGGAGGCAATCGAGAGATGAATCCGCGAGAAAATACACTTTCGCGTTTGATCATCAGCCAATCGCTTTTCAAGCCGGCAAATACTGTCGATCAACATGAAGTGTCTTGTCATAGCTAGTTTGTAATGTTTTTTTGCCAATTTTCGATTAGCATTAGCATCGTTATTACTTCGTAGTTTTATCAAATCAGGTTGCCTTCTTGATTACGTTAATATTTAAATAACAGGTATAGCATTCATTGTTATAACTTGATAAAAGCTTTATTTTTGAGCCTCTCGTTAACGAGCGAATAGATTGCCTAGATTTCTATCAAGGGAAGCTGAAGTTTGCCATTTTCATATCCTTCATATAATAAATTACCATATCTATGTGAAAGCTTCCTGCTTTTTCTACAATTTTGAACATTTGTAACAGTTAACAGATTATTCTTCACAGCTCTCAATTTAGTTAGTCCGTCTTGACAACTCGACTAAACTTCTCTGTAAGACTGTAGTCAATCTCGTGGCAATCTGTTCGATCAGCTCCAGAGCTCCCATCACTCATACCTAATCTTGTGCAAATACCAAACACGCTCAAGACCTTCTGCTCATTCAGACGTTGGTTGGGTTTAGTATAGAACCGAACGCGTGGTTTGTATTGTACTATTTTCAAGTCATGTTTTTCGTGATTATTTACAATATTTTCGTAATTTTTTCGATGGATTTTCTTGACTTGATTCGGTGTTTGAACGCCCTGTCATTTATGTTTGAAAACTATTCAATCAATATATTTTTGCTGCGAACTTTTCACACGTTTTGGGCGTTTATTTATGGCATTCTTTGCAAATTCCCCAATATTCGAATACCTGTTGCGTAGGTAGCGTGAATTTCAATGCCAGCAAACGGAGGAACGAAGACGACTGTCGTTTGTTGACGCGCTACATAACAGCGCTGATGATGTCGAGTGTCGACCAACGTGCGCCAGCAGCAGCTATGAAAGTCGTTAGTTTCGGCTGCGCTTGACGACTGTTAAAAACGCAAAGAGAAACGAAGCTATAAGGGCAATAATCGAATGAGACATAATGCAAGGTTGAGCTAGTGTCGGCGAAGGCATTAAGTACGGTAAATTTGAAGCATTGATAAAAGATGTGAAAAATGAGCAATATGGGTTGTGGGAAGTGACCAAGAACGAGAGATTAGAATTACATAAAATAAGTGTCAGACTGCACTGTAAACTATTTTTTTCGTTCTTCTTTTCTGAAACAAATGTAAATGTCAGCGACCAACAAGTGTAAAAATTTAAAAGTTTGTGTTGTGGCAGAGCTTGGAGGAAGACGAGTCAACGCTTGTCGGTCGCGGAGAGAGGAAGAAAACTTAGAGTAGCAGCGCATTGCGAAATGAGGGGCGCGAAGTGAAGGAGTGTGTGGGTCAGTATATACGTCGTCTGCGTTGTCGTAAAGGTCAATAGCCGCCCGCGTGTTGTGTTGGTCCAGCTGACCTGCCGCAGCCCCACCAGCTCAGAGCCCGCCTGTCGTGGTGGTCTAGTTCTGCCTCAGGTCCGTCTGACTAATTAAGTTGTGTATACCGGCACCACCTAGCGACGCTTCTGGGAAGCGCTTCAACAAACTTCACCATCGCCTGTCAGATCGAACAAAATATGAATAATTCTTTTCGATATGTCTTGAATTGTAATAGGATATGGCTCCTATCACCTGCCATTGGTGGGTTGACCCTCCTCAGGTCCGTCTGACTAAGTTGTGTATACCGGCACCACGTAGCGACGCTTCTGGGAAGCGCTTCAACAAACTTCACCATCGCCTGTCGGATCGAACATAATATTAATAATTCTTTTCGATATGTCTTGAATTGTAATAGGATATGGCTCCTATCACCTGCCATTGGTGGTCTAGTCCTGCCTCAGGTCCGTCTGGCGTCTGACTAATTAAGTTGTGTATACCGGAACCACGTAGCGACGCTTCTTGAATTACTACAACCGACTTTACAATCGCATGATCTATCGAATAAAATACTTGTATATTTGTGGCCGATATTTGTTGAAGTGTGATAGGATGACTATGTTACTTGTATCAATTAAGCATTCAACATGAGTAGGTATATCATATGTGCATTGTTAGCGTTGTATAAGTCGAGAACGGATATTGAAAATTTTAAACCATTAGTGTGCGAAAAAATTCTTTGCCCGCATTAGAATGGTAAATAATTCTGGAATGCTATAAGAACTTGCATGCATGTAAGCAGCCTTCGGTTCGCGCACGGCTAAACACATACAATTTAGCTCAAAAGTAACCATGCTGCTTTTGATCACGGCCAGTCAATAGTATTAATTAAAACTCTCAAATTTTATAATACAATCGTTCCGAGTTGGTAACCTGTGAACTCTAATCGGCATACTTACACAAGCCGAGTTATTCAGAACAAAATTGATTGATTAAGGATAGAAAAGTGTGAACTGACTTAACGTATATAGTTTCAACTTAATTGATTATCATCCTTGTTTTAATGATGTTCACCTCTAATTGCCATTGCTGGATTCAAAATCAGATTTAGTTCCATTTGGTTTATTAAACGTGAGAATCCGCTGTTTCTCGGGTTTTTGAAGAAGAACTACAAGTTACAGCCATCCAATAATTTCACATTTAACCTAAATGAAAAATACGAGAAATTACTGAACTTGAAAATCGCTATTCCTGTCCTTAACACCTTTAAATTAAATTTTGGCACATTTTGCATTGTTCGTCTGGAAATGATTCCAAATAAGTCTTAGCCTTTTATCTTGAGCAATTATTATTACTCAGTAGACTCCTGCGTCTCGAAATAATTTTCTCGAAATGAACCGGGACAGACGAAACGAGACGAGAAAATTCCGGGAAAAAAATAACGGGACAGGGAAATTTTAAGGTACCTATTTTAACCGGGACGTCTCGTCTCGTCTCGGTATCGTCCCGGAATTCCAACGGAAGGCTGAAAATTGTCCCGGTTTTTATTGCGAACCGGGACAGAGCCTGTTGTCTCGTCTCGTCTCGTCTCGGATTAAAAAAAATACCAAACGCAATAGTCTAATTATTAGCATTCAACTACACTGCAGATTCCGACTAGTTGGACTGAAGACTCGAATTGAACCAACAGTATTTCATTGTAATATTTGAAAATAGTTATCACTGACGTTTATTCTACAATCCCTGTGTTTGATCCTGTCAATCGCTGGGAGCGAAGTTGTGGTGTGTGCAATGAGCATTTTATACGCCGTTTCCTACGCTCATTAATATATCTTGCTCCATTTTTTATTGAGCTACCTAGTATGGACGTGCGCGTTAGAGCGGCCCGCCCATATTGCCACATCATAACCAAATCGACCATGGGTCTTCAGTAAAATATTAGACACATAATTATTATTATACAATTTCTACGTTTTATCATTTTGTGCGGTGGATTTCTCGTGATTTCAATTCAATTTTGACCGTCATCATTGCATCAACAATGTGTCCAAAATGCAAAATGAGATAATTCAAAAGTCATTTGGACGTTATTTTTTAGTTTCGTATTAAAGTTCATTGAACATGATCATCTCATAATGCAAATAATTTATTAAAAAAAATTATCTGTTACGGAAATTACACCATGGAAATAAATGAGTATGAAAGGAGTAGCAAAATAAACAATTTACTGCATTAAATATTCTAGCAATGTAGAAATATTTAAACATAAATATTGTAGTCATATAAATTAGATTTAATCATTCGTGTTTTTAAATATATAGTAAAGTAATCAATTAATAATGTGCTTCGTTTCTTTGTTCCATGTTCATCGTTGGGCTGCTGCGCTCATCTTGGTCTCCTCGCTGCGTGTCCTTCGCTTCTCCTGCTCTTGTGCCTCCTCTACTTCTTGTCTTGCTCTCATCATCGCTTCTGACCGCACATCGTCTTTTCTTTTAATTGACTCGTCCCGTGTTATTCCTCATGTCTTGTATTTTATTTTACATGAATTTTCCGCTTTTCATCGCATTAATTTTTATTTAATTTACATATACGTTGTTTCCTACATCTTATTTTAACTCGTGCACGTCATTTATCCAATATTGTTTCTTTTTCGCTTATTCTACTTGGATTTTCTGATATATGCGTTTGTTAAACTTTTTTATGAATATTTTTCATCTCCAACATAATTGTTCAATAACTATCCATAATATCCTGTAAATTATATTTTGTCAATGCGTCGCGACAATAACTACTTCCCTTATTACTCCAATTGATCCTGTAATCATTATCGAATTCCATTCGCCTTCTTGATCATGTCCGGTAATGATAATCCACTCATGTCATTTCTTCCAACTATTACCTTACTCACGACTGCCTCGCTCTATTAACTCTGCCTCCGTAAATGATATCGGCAATTCCCATGCTACCCCACTCCTCGTCTACCTCCGCCTCCCTGCATCCTCTCCCCTCATGCTCTTCTCCGTCAACCATTACCTCGGTCTCCATGCATCCTCTTCCCTCATCTCTTCTTTGCCAACCATTACTTCGGTCTCCCTGCATCCTCTTACCTCATCTCTTCTTCGTCGACCATTACTTCGGTATCCATGCATGCTCTCCCCTCATCTCTTCTTCGTCGACCATTACCTCGGTCTCTCTGCATCCTCTCTCCTGCTCTTCTTCGTCAACCATTACCTCGGTCTCCATGCATCCTCTTCCCTCATCTCTTCTTTGCCAACCATTACTTCGGTCTCCCTGCATCCTCTTCCCTCATTTCTTCCTTGCCAACCATTACTTCGGTCTCCCTGCATCCTCCTTCCCGCCTGGTCTCCTGACCGTGTACCGAACCTTCGCCTGCTACAGTCCCCAGTCCTCCGCTGAACTTGACAGTGACGCGCATCGAGGACACAACCGTTGAGCTGTCGTGGCTGCGGCCTCGTCATCCCAATGGAGAGATACGCGGCTACCGCATCTTCTACATGCGCGGCAACTTTACCAGCGTCCGCACCGCGCATGTCCATGGCGATGAGCCCTCCAAGACTTTCAAACTCACTGAAATGGGTGAGTATTGCACATGAGTGCTTCATGCAATAGTTTTTCATTGTAAAATATTTTACCTATATTTATCATTCATATTTTACGCTCGTAAAAAAAGCAAGTGTTTAATCTTCTTAAATGTAACAACCGTTTTTACAAGAGCAATTATGTAAGACCATGTTTTGAACACCGTTTTTCGAGTACATCGAAGGTCTAAAAGAAGGTTACGCGTTGGCCTTACAACAAGTATACTAGCCAAAAACAATTCCATCCGTTGACGATCATGACGCTACAATTTTTAAACAATGTATCCACGTGTTGACAAAGAGGCCATCGTGCGCCTTATTATGATCGTTGAGCTTGTCTAATTATAGCGACTCAGGTGCTCGCTTGGCTGCGCCATAAAGCAGCCTTATTACCTCATTAGAAAGCCTCACGAAGTTCCCTGAATTACCGCGGTTCGTTCATCTCGAATATAACCACATTCTCTGCTTAACTTGACGTCCAGACTCACATACTCGTGCGCGTCTTCAAAATGAAGGTTCTTATTGCAGCACAACGTGAGTGATCAAATTCGCCATACTCTGCTGCTGTACGCACTTACGTGCCACCGTGAATAATTTTAGCTTTGTTTCATGGAGATGTTTGCGTTCCATCATGTTGTTAATGCGAATTGAGAACGCAGTAAAATTGCTGAATGAGTTTCTTAATTAGAAGATTTATGTTCTCAAATGCTTTCGTTACTGGAAGGTGCTACGTTCTTCTTGTCATGTCAGCGTTATTAATACTAAATAAATTTCCACCGCGGTGTGAATTAGATGACTATTAGGACCTTTAGTCACACAGATGACTTCGGACCTCGTGCAGTGAGTCGATCAATTTATAAATTTCATCTCTGATGGCTAAGTTTATATGAACATATTTTTCATCTTTTAGGTATAAATATTTTATATTTCCCATCTGCAAGGTCCTTGTAACTTCTACTTGTTATCTGTATGAAAAATTATTTATTCTTTCATATGTATATGTTTTCTTTAAAACGTGGCAATTAGCCGTAAATCTTAAGATTTAGGGCTAATTCATGCTGTGTTGTTTGAGAAAAATTATTTTGTAAAGAAATATTTTGGCATAAAAGTACCTTTTAATATTTTTTGTAGACAACCTTTTTATTTGCATATTATGTAATATGAATATGTATATAAAATGTACATATTGTGTATGAATACATATTATGGCTGATGTTGGAGTACTGAACTGTCGATGTTCCATAGATTTATTGAAATCTCATTAGTTTTAATTTTCGGCTGTGATATCTCTCTAACTTAAATGTCAAATGTGCACCTCTAGACACCGGATCATTTACATTGGTTCTCTAAGCCTTAATTATTACGGCTCATTATTTTCAGTTTGTCCAATACATCACAGAAAAGTCAAATGTTTCACTTCTATCCTATAATCCTTCATCTCCAGATGTTTTGATCGTATTACATTTGTAAATTCTAAATTCGGAGGGTTACCTTGTCTTCAAAAAGGCAATAAAAATTTATCCTCGAGTCATCACACCGTAAATTCGCTATTTTTAATTGCTTTACGTGCACGCAACGAGTTTCGTTTAACGAAGGCTAGTACCAAGAAGTGTGGATGTATGTCACTGGATCTCATTTTATTGTGGGATCTCAAGGAACGGCTTTGCAATTAAGGCGTACAAGCGAGTAGCGATCTCGCGAGCAGCCGTTGTTCCTGAAACTGTTACTCGTAACGCTGGTTTGTGCTGCTCCTACTGTTATTGATGGCTTCGATTATTAAAATAAAAATATTGATCATTATATTATTGTATTTTCGTTCTTGTTTTTTTATCTTATGTCATTTTACGTTCCCTCAGTGTTCCCACATATCTTGATATAAATTTTGTTGATACTATTTATTTAATATATATACGGTACCTATATATTTTATTTGCTTTTTATAATTTTTTTTTGTGCTGATAACCTCTCGAATGCTTTCTATGATGATGATGACGGACACTCTGAATGTCTTTCTTTTGTAACCCTGCTCCTTATTTGTGTACTTACCAAACTTGGCTTTTGCTTTACGAGTTTTTAAAACCACTGAGTCTGTTGTTGCAGCATTTCTTCCATAATCTAAATACTCGGTATTGGTTTGCAAAAACATACATTTTACATTTTAACATCTGTATTCGGAGCGCTCGTTCCATCAAAGTTAAACCTAATATCTTGATCGGTGTTTTTGAATGAATGCAAAGACTATTTTGTTCTTTCTGTGTTCAATTATCTGATAGTGGATTGCGTAAAACCAGCTTAACCACACACAGAAATACCCGTTTGTGACAATCCATTGCTTGAATGCTCCGAGTGTCTACAATTACTTCGTCAGTAAAGTTGCTATTCGGGCAGATGCAGTGCTAACAACACCTGCTTCATTCGGGCTTATTCATTCTCATGCATTGGTATTCTGTCATGCCATGCTACAAATGAACGCGTGTCAGGCACACCTGTTCATGGAACACGATATTTTGTCCATGTTTCTTGTTAATTTTCGAGCACTATATACACTAGTATAGTGAAATGTGGGATGTCGTGCATGTGTGTCTTTCCATGGGTTTGTCGGTCGTTAGCTAACGTGAAACGCATGGTTATCAAATGATGAAATCACGCATGCGTTCTTGCATAATGTCTTGGTTCTTAATCGCTTGAACGTTTGGAGCAGAGGAAGTTATCTTTCATTTCAAGACTTACACTTATTCTACGGAGTAAATTGCTTATACTCAATATTTCTTTATGAAGGTCTAATTTTGTCTTGGTTGGTAAATCGTTGGTTTTGTGCTGCCAAAAAATGATTGCTATTTGTCGTTGTTCCAAGTGGTCATTACTTCCAGATATTTCCTTGGCTTTAGAATAGTGAAGACGACCATGTTATGAGGGCGGAAAATTAGATTTATAAGCGCTTCATTATTTTCGTATTATTTCAATAATTTGTTTACGGATATATTCATTAACTGTCGTCACTGTTCTTCGTATGAAACGTATCTGAAGAACTGGTAACTAGAGTAATAAACAAATGTCAAAGACAGTCAATTGTAACCAATATATAATTCCTGAATGTTAATAGTAGTTCTAATTTACTTTTGTTATATCTCGTCTAAACTCTTAAGCAATTAAAAGAGGAGTGCACGAATGGAAAAGATCATCGACACAGGATCATCGATGTTCGATGAAATTTTTTTAAGGCTCAGGGACCGAATCTTAGCAAAATCGTCCTGCCCCGGCGTTGTGCTGTGCCACAAAAGACATGCAAGTTTGCATGCTCCAGTGAATAGTGACCGGCCTATCTCCTTTAAAGCTTGCTCGTCCATTGGTGTGGCCGTCCTCTTGAAGCAGCTGTGTAAATGCTCGGCTGGTGCTGCTGCCATCATCATCATTTCTGCACGAGAATACATTCTCACTGTAAAATGCGATATCCATAAAGGAAAAACTGACTCGGGGTACAAATACAGGGGTTGGACAAAGAAGGGAAACACCTGACATTTTGAAATCGTAATTTTTGAACATGTTATTAACAATGCAAGCTTGACATTTTTATTTTTTATTGTTCATTGTTGTTGCTAATTGATATTTCATCATTTTACACATATTTTTAGTAAATTTTTGTTTTTATAACCTAACCTAGTTATATCCTTAGGTTTTTATAACCTAACCTAGTTTACGTTTGAAGACAGCAAAAAGAGTCATAGTGAATCCCGACTGCCTCCTCCTAATCCCCCGACCCCCGACCGTAACATGACGGGGGATCTGTGATGATCTGTGGTGCTATTTCTTCGAAATCACGCTGACCAATAATTAATCATCATGGATGAATCAACAGCCTTGACTATTTAGGAATTTTGGAGGACCAAGTTCATACAATGGTTCAAGCACTGTTTCCGGAGGGGAACGCTATCTTTCAAGATGATAATGCCCCGATCCATACAGCTGGAATTGTTAAAAATGGCACGAGGAATATTCTAATGAAGTTGAGCATGTCATCATGCCACCGCGATTACCAGACCTGAATATTATCGAGCATTTACGGTCGATTTTAGAGATGCAAGTCAGAAGTCGATTCCCGCTGCCATCGTCTTCATGAGAGCCAATTAAAGGGAGTTTTAACTGAAGAATATGTTAATATTCCTTTGGAAACAAATTCACAATTTGTAAGAATCAATACCTCTTAGAATTGAGGCTGTAATTGCCGCAAAAGATGGACCTACACCATACTGAAGTATATTTTGTTAATTTCCCAGGTGTTTCCCTTATTTTGTGTAACCCCTGCATATAACTTAGTTGGAAACATCTAATCTCAAAGCGACTAATTTTTCATTGAGAAAGAAGTAGTTGGTATTTATCCAGGGGTTTTATGAAAGCACAAAAATCTGCAATGCCTGTTAACAGGTCCATACAGAATCTTTCTTGGATTAAGTTATGCTTTCAATATTAAGTTAATCGAAATTTTTGGCGCCATTTAATGAATGAAAATCTGTAATATTAGTTAAAAAAATTTTTTTTTGAGAGTCGTAGAAATAACTCCAGTTGTTGTGTTCGGTGCAAAAAAATTGTTCGGTGCAAAAATTAAGCAATGTTTGAATTTATTATGTTCCACTTACTGAAATTAAACGTAATAATATGCATTTAAAATTACTTTTTAAAGACAACAATTCTAAAGAGGCTTGTGTCTCCGATGTTACACATGTACAACGAATTTCTGATTTTATTGTTAAATATTAAAAAAGTTGTTTAAACATTTTTTAATACATAAAACAATTTTTTTAATTTTTAAAATTATTTATTTCGTCAATTGATTCAATCATTAATTGTCTCCGACTTTACGCAAGTGTGAAAATTTTCAGATCGATTGAACGATCAGAATTAAGTGTGTTAATTAGGTACATACTGTATTGATTATAAGATTTGTAGCAGACCAACAAACGAACAAACAAACAATAAGAAGTCAGGTTAAAGAGAAGTGCC